CCACCCTTCTTCCCTCGGACTGGCCCTTTCATCGTGGAGCCGCCCTTCTCCCCTCTGGAGGCGTTTACCTCCGACTCTCCGGCTTGTCTGCTATTTGTAAAGCCCCCGGGTTCCCTTTGGTTTGGGTTCGGTGGTTTGTATTTGTTTCCATCCTGTTATTATCAATGCCCAAATTCCCCCCGTCTTCATTGTTTATTGAATCACAGTCGGTTTACAGTGCTGTGTTAATTTCTGGTGCACAGCGCAGTGATTCACTTACGCACATACATGTATATTCCTTTCCAGATTCTTTTTCATTGCAAGTTCCTACAAGATTTGAGCATAGTTCCCTGTGCTGCCCAGCAGGTCCTTGTTTATCTGTGTTATATATTGTAGCGTGTGTATCCGCAAACCCCAAACTCCCAGTTTACCCCTTCCCACCCCCTTCTCCCCTCGCAACCGTAAGTTTGTTTTCTTTGTCTGTGAGTCTATTTCTGTTTTATAAATATGTTCGTTTATCTCTTTTTGTTTCGGTTCCGCATATGAGTGATACCACATGGTATCTGTCTTTCTCTTTCTGACTTACTTCACTTAGAATGATGATCTCCAGGTCCATCCACGTTGCTGCAAGTCCCCTCATTCCTTTTTATGGCTGAGTAATATTCCACCATATGTAAATACACCAATCTTCTTTACCTAGTCATCTGTCGATGGTACTTTTAGGTTGTTTCCGTGTCTTGGTTGTTGTAAACAGTGCTGCCATGAACATTGGCGTGCTTCTATCTTATCAAATTGGAGTTTTTTCCGGATATATGCCCAGGAGTGGCATTGCTGGATCACATGGTAAGTCTACGTTTAGTTTTTTGAGGAATCGCCACACTGTTTTCTGTAACAGCTGCACCAATTTACATCCCCACCAACAGTGTAGGAGGGCTCCTTCTGTCTTTACTTAAAATGTATCTCTTGGAAATAGTTGTTCTTTTAACACAGCCTGGTTGCATTCCTTTAATTACTGTATTTACACCGTTTGCAAATAAAGTGAATATTGGTAACATGAGATTTTAGTGTAACATTTTTATTTGCCCTCCATTTCACCCCTCTAAAGCTTACTTCTTTATTCACTCTTTCTTTCTGTTTATTTATTTAGAATATTTTTACGCTTGCCTATTTTCCTCAACAAGTTCCCTGTTTAAAAAAATATATACTCTTGTTTTTCACTTTGTGCATTTTTAAGTATGAAATTATCTCAAAATAAAAAGTTGGAAATAATAAAGACTCCGCCTCTGGCTCCAGCAGTCACTCACGGCTCTTACCCAAGCCGGTCACTTCCCCGCGGCTGGAAACGCTGTGCTCATCACCCAGCACCCGACTCCAGGGAGGACCCCACCCCCGCCTTTTGATAACCAGCTCAGCTTTACGGTTACGAACGGGTGGATTTCTCTTTCTTCAATGATTTATATTTTGCTATTATAGATAATTATTTCAATGTTCAAATTGCCACGGATCTGGCCCAGGCTCTGCGTCCTCGGGGAGCGTCGCGGAACCCTCGGAGCAGTTTCACCCCAGGCTCTGCACTGCGCTGCCCCCGCCCAGAAGCAGCCGCCTCCCGGGAAAGGTGTTTTAAAACCAGCATTTCCTTACCAATTATGCCATTTCTGATGAGCGCCCGCCGAGTGTGGGCTTTCAAAATTCCACTGAACCGATTTAATTCTTTCGTCGGACGTCAGCCCTCGGGCAGATAAGAGACCCCCACGTACTCACATTCATTTTGGTTTTATTTAAGGGGGCTCCTTGGGGTCACACATTCCACTTTTTCATTCCTCATAAAGGCCTGATTAACAGCACCTTCCCCCACGTCGGTCTCACTCGTGACTGTTTCTGCCTCAAGGGGGTTTTGAGGGAATTGTACTAGCAAAGTCCAAGCTGACGGCAGTGAATGGCGCCCCCCACCAGCACGCCGCCCCCTCCCCACCCTCTTTGCCTGACGCTCAGTGTGGTCGGGTCAGCTCCACTAGGTTCAGTCACTTCGAGCTGAAATCTTAACTGGGGGGGGGAACTACAGGATTGGGGTCCCCCTGGTGAGCTCCTTGGACCCGATTACCTCTGTAAGGACCCCACGTCCGAATACAGTCACATTCTGAGGTCCTGGGCTTAGGGCTCCAGGGTGAGTTTTGAGGGGACGCAGTTCAGCCACAGTGGAGGAGTCGTGATAGGACCCGCTTCAAGGGTGACCGCGAGTCCGCGTCCACCACCCCGGACAGAAGGCTGGGGGTGCTGCAGGGCCCCAAGCCGGCATCGGGCTCGGCCTCCCGGCCTCGGCTGGTCCCCCGAAGACTCGAATCTTCCAGGCGGGATTACACTGTCATCACTAAGGCACGTTTAATGCTTTTAACAGTAGCAGAGCAGCGTGCACACCCGCTCCTGGTCCCCAGCACCCTCTCCGAGCCGCCCTCTGAGCTGCGCCACGGGAAGACTGAGGAGAGATTTCATAAGGGGCTCATCTAAATATTTAACAGGAACACACGTTGGCGCTTAGAGCCGGGAAGGATGGGGGACACCGTGGTCCCCAACAAGGGTTGTCTGCACCGCGGCCGAACCACTGCATCACCAGCCTCTTGAGCTGGGTGCTCAGCCCCTGGCTGTCCTCGGGGCTCCATCTGCCCGACCCCCAGAGCAGGACAGTGGCGGGGCCCGGCCCCCACCCCGTGGCCTCCTGATTAGGAGCTGAGGGAGTCCCACTCCCTTGACCTGTGGGCCTTGCGCGTTTCGCTCCGGCGTCAGGAGTGAAGGTGACGCAACGGCTGAGAACACACTGCAGCCCCCGCTCCTGGTGGCAGTGGTTGCCGTCTGAGCCTCCAAGCCTGCAGATCCGTTCATCTCACGCCTGAGGGGTTTCCGTCTGATTGATGGCAGCCCCGGACCCTCCCCGGACCCGCGGAGCTACACTAATCTGCAAACTAAAACAATATTAGCAAACTGTTAATGGTCCATGAAACCGCGGCGCGGCCGTGGTCACGGTCAGGACGACAGCCTCGTACCTGCGTTCCCACGCGGCGGGCGGCCAAGCCGGGCGCAACCCCCGTCACCGAGGGGGACCTGCAACTCAAATAGAGCTTAATTCAGCTAATTCAGAGCTGAGTTGGTTTGGACAGCAGCTGGACCCCGGCGAGTGGACGGATGAAGACACCACACGTGTGTGATGTGGCCCAGATGCAGGTGTGGACCCAGCCAGAACCACAAGGAGTAACCTTCGCTGTCATGTGTTAAGGACCCGAAAGCCTCGTGCTGAGCAGCTCCCCCGGCGAACTCTGTGCATTTACTAACTCGGCCTGATTCGGCATTTTGACTGATGAGGACGGGGGTGGGGGTGGTGTGGAAGCTGGACCCCCCCACAGGGGAGAGCCCAGAGCCTGGTGACGGGGCGGGGGCAGAAATGCAGCCGTCAGCACAACGGTGCCACCACGTCCTCCGGGAGCGGGAAGCACCATCAATACAACGAAGACAGCTGTGTAGGAGGAAGTTACCGATTGCT